GTATGTAGCAAGTGCTTTTGGTCTCTAGTGTACATGCGTTTAAAAGTTCAATCGAAAAGAAACCAAATTAGGGTTAATAGTATAGCAATTCGCAGAACTTTACCTATCTCGTTCTTTAACCCCTTCCTTTTTACACATTGATTTCCTTACACTGAATTTTTATCTGGTAAAAATTAAGCTGCAAAAAATTCCCCTGCAAAAAAAATAAAAATAAAAAAAAATAAATTGCCTGCAAAAAATTCACAGGGTTTATACAGGAGTGAGTAACTCTAATTTAATGCTTTTTACTGCCCTTTTAATGCTCTTAAAAATAACTTTAATGCCATCAACAAGTACCCATGACTCTTCACTAAGTTGCTAACTGGTTAGCAGAAACCAGAGAAACTGGTCACAACCAAAAAGCTTGTGAACCTTCCGCCACAATAATCCCACCCTCTTGATAATCAACCAATCACATTCAGGAGAATTTAGAAATGCAACGGTTGGAACAGCCGTTTCCCTACGACTTTAAATAATCACCTCGTACCTGAAGGTAAATGTAAAAACCTTGATATTCCTAATCGAACTCCTGTAGAGTTTGGAAACTTAAAATTTGTCCTTTTTGTAATTTGTTTTAGTTTGAGTTAACAACATAAATGAGGAGGCGGTTAGCGACGATGGGGCAGGGGGGGCGATGGTGCAGCAGAACGAAAAAAGAAGAACCGGGTTCTGGACGTACCACAAAGGTGTCGTAGGAGAACTTGTGTCTGTGGAGGAGATGCTGCAGGAAGTTGGAGCTCTTGTAGGTGGGGTCTCCCCACGGCATGGCGGAGCACACCGGGCACACCTGCAGGACAGAGGCAGGAAGCAGATCCGGTCAGGGAAGCATCAGCTGGAAGCGGGTGTGTTTCCCTCCAGAGAACCTCCTCACCACTTTGTTGGGGTCATTGCGGTGGTTCTCCATGCAGTGCTTCAGCAGCTCCTGCTGGTCCAGGTTCCTGGCTCCACAGAACGGACAGACGAACGTGGACCGGTTGGGAATGTTGCTTCAGAACAAAAGACAGGAAGAATGATGGAACGGCTGCTTTCAGGACTGTTAAAGAAGACGCAGAGGTCCGGGTCTGGATGGAGGAGGTACCTGGGGATGGGCTGAGAGGTGGGGACCACCGGGACGAACTTGGGACAGTTGGCGATCTGCTCCTGCACTTTGGAACAGGACGAGATGTGGGACCTCATCTTCCCCAGGGACACCTGAACAGAACCACATGTGAGAGAACCCTGATCAGAATCGGCGTGGGACCAGAACCACAGAGCAATACCAGGCGGGCGCTGCCGGACCTTTTTGCTGCAGCCCCTGCAGGGGGCTTTGAGGGAGGCCAGCTGCTTCTCCACGCTGGAGGACCGCTCCACCTTCTTGGGCTCAAAGGGAACCCGGCAGAGCGGGCAGAGCGGAGAGGACACCTGGAGACAGGGCTGCAGACATTCCCCGCAGAACCTGCAGACAGAACCAGAACCATCAGAACATCCACACCTCATAGAGGCTATACACTGCCGGCCAGGCAGGGTTCTGGAGGTCCTGTTACACCGGAACCAGGTGGACCTTTGTCCTCATGTCAGAACCATGTGGATTTTTGTTGTTCAGATTGGTTCTTTTGGATATTAAATATCATTTTAATATTTCTTTGTTTATTACAGAAAAACAAGCCGGTTCCTGATCAGAGCCGGTTTAGAGACGCCCTTTGTTGACTATAATCGCTATAATCTCACCCGCTGAATAGCTCAGCTTTTCAAATGTGTGTCCTATTCAGGTTTAGTTCTGGGACCCCACTATGGAGCTACAAAAAATAATAATAATAATAATAATAATAATAATAATAATAATAATAATAATAATAACTCAAAGTAAGAAAAAAAATTTACATTGAAACACATCTGGAACTGAAAAACAAAAAGATTTTAAATAAAAAATGTTCAAGTTTCAATCTATTTTCTCCTATC